TGTCAGATATAAAGACTTTAGTTTAACGTAGTATTATTAATTCATTGATGTTGAGGCTATGGAGTATTTCTAAGAAAGCCTAAGTGATAAATGTATAAATAACTGTGACCAGACGAGCAAAAAGAGTAAAAGAAATTTGGTCTGAGAAAAGTTAGAAAACGTAAAATTAACCATCGTGGGAGTGAATGGCCTAACAGTTGATATGTTATAGTGAGAATAATTTGTCTTGTCAAAGGTGTTCAAAACTAATTGAACCCATCTGTGTTTACTTTGACAAAAAGAGAAATGATTATTGAAAGTATGAAGAGCAGACGATTATTGGAAGTGATTATTCGAAGTTCAGGATACAACTGCGGTAACTCGTGCAACAACGTAAGTGAACTATACCTTGATACTATTGTGATAAAAATAGTTCGGCTTGTCAATTAATTCTAAAGCAATTGAATTGGCCTAAGTGGACTTTTGACAAGAAAAAGAGAACTGTACAGTGTTTAAGATACAACCATGATCTCCATAGTATAAAGAAATTATGTTTAACTTGTTTTGAATATATTATTATTAATATTATAAAAACAAGTGGAGCACGTGCTGTTCGTTGACTGTTGAATTTATTGCAAACAAGTCACAGACACCAACTGTAGAAGAATCCTTGGCCCAACACACCCATATATTTATATTACTGTATATAATAATAAAAAGTATGTTACTGACAGTCATATTCCAGCTGTTCATGCCTTTTATTCATGAATCTTTCATCTTCTTGAAAAATCAAACCTTTCTCCAAAAAGAACACGGAGCACTAAAACTAAAAAAAAATGATGAAAGTGCAATTTTACTGAAATCTGATAATGTTATTAGTTAGATAATATTCACTCTATAAACCCTTTTGTTTTTGGTATGTCAATGAGAATTTTACAGCTTTGATAACCTTGACACAGTTCATGACTTTTCTTCTCATTTAAACATGTTTCCTGAGTAGGGAATATTGGAGGTACCATTAATGAAACTGTTTGAAAAAAAAGGGTTTTTGTGCAGAGCTGCACAAATGGCCATTTTCACTAAATCCAAGCAGGGACTGAACCACAAATCCTAGCATTATAAACTTGGAAGCTTACCACTTAGCCACCAGGGGACAAGGAAAAATGGGATGTCTTTATTCTGATGGTAAAAGTCAGCTAGAATAAATATATAAATGTCCATTTCTGGGATAATGGTCTTTTTGAAACTAAATGTGCTCACTTAATTATAAATAATTAAATCTTAGAAAGAAGGCCAAAGAAATTGGATGTGCTGATAAATATCTATCATTCTCACATTTTATACGGTTTGGGAGGTACTTGTTATATTACCTGAACTCTTGAGCATAAACAGATAGGACTGAAGTTTTATTAATTTTATTAACATTTATTATTTTACATCTTGTTACACTGTGAAAAGCAACACAAGGCCTGTTAAAAGCTTTTGAAATATCAACACTACATTAGCAGTAAGAAAGCATCAAGATCCAAATCTAAATAATTTGATCAATTTCGCTAAGTTTGGGTTATAGAAACAAAAAGTGAAAACCATCACAGCATCTAACTCTCAAGAGAAGTAATATTTAGCTTTACTTAAGGAAGAGCTATAGTCTATATGGCATCAACTTCTGGTACAAGTTGAAACTATACTGATTCGTAACAAGATTGCTGACTATATATTTGTTGTTACTGGCATCATCATTTAAGAATAACTCAACAGATATGCCTGGTTTTTCAGTATTCAAAGTTTTACTAAAATCAGGGTTTATTTGGTTTTATTGACTAGTATTAACATTTAAACAAAAAACATTATGTACATAAATAATTTTAACACACACACACACACACACAGAGACATCTTTGAATAATAACACTTTTTACTTGTATATATACACCTACATTTTTACACATGTAAATTAAGCATTTTAAATGCTTAATTTGGGCTAAACAACCAGGTCATAGGAGGGTTCAGGTATAGCCATTACTAACTTTGAATTACATATCAAAGCCAGCAGCATTCATCTGGATCTTTCAAATGAATAAGGGGATTTACTGACACTTTTATAATAATTAGCTAACAGATGAAAAGATCTGCAGTCCAGCATGCTAACCACTAGGCTATGCCTAGCCCAGTGCTTAGCATGAGATAAAAGGGATTCTTGAAAATTTTAATTCAAGCATTGCTAAAATAAATGTTGCTCAAGCATTTTTATAGATTTTTGTTAACTTTGGTAGTACACTTGAAAGTAAACCAATTAATATGGCATAGTACATAACCATGTAGATAATTTCATAAGCTTTCAAAATCACTACATTTTCCAACTCTGCCTACTTAGAGTAACAACAAAATAGTATTCATATTTCTAATGCCTTACACAAGCATACATAAATAAAGCAGGCATTGTTATTAAGATTAGCAAAAAAGCACAAAAACAGTTCAGTCAAATGACTTTATGAGGCAAATTCTATAAATAAATAACAATAAATATTACTAAATCATTATGAACTTATCTTTCAAGTATAAGTAGGTTGTTATGAGATATATTCTGTTGTTACAGAGATTACGAATTTTTAGTTTTCTAAAACAGCATTTCACAACCCAAAATATGGTTGTCAGAATGTGTAATACATTTGCAAACAGACTTTGAAAATAGATAGTAATTTATTTATTTAGTAAGTCAGATATGTTTTGCATTAAAGCCATTTACTGGACTGTGACTGACCATCAATGTTTACAATTGGGTCTCGAGCCAAAAAAAATTAGGTTGAGAACTGCTGATCCAGAACAATAAATCTGTATGAACAACCATGACAATTGTTGTGTGATGCTTGTATAGTCTTATTTTTGAAATGTTCTGTAATTCTTAAATGTACATATAATTTGATAATTTATAACATTACATAAGAAAACCATGTGTATTTCTAAAACAAATATTATGCACAACACATTACTCCATCTGTAACAAGTACAATGACTAGTCTAACAAACCTGTGCACTGAAAAAAAGTACATAATTTTTAAACCACATAATTATCAGCTTAATGATAATGATTTAATTTGCTTTTATATAGCTGGAAGATTAAGTTACAAAACTGACTAATAGGAGTAAGCTATTCTTATTTGTAAGATGGTTATTTTCATTTGATGGACCTTTAAGAAATGATACTTATAAATGTTAACAGGTTCATACAAAATATTTGTTAGTTAATGTGTGTACATTTTGTTAGGTGAGTCTGTTATTTTAAATAAAAATGTTTTTGTTTTTCATACTATATTGTTAACTAATACAGCAATTAATTCATAATTATCACATTGGCTTAAAACATATACAGTAATAATTAAGATAAAAAAACACGCTTCTTTATTTTCTTTTCAATATTAGGAGGGTTTGGTATGTTGAACACAAAGTTACACAATGGGTCATCTGAGCTCTGCATACCACTGGGTTATCTTGTTGTGCCCACTACAGATATCAAAACTTGATTTTTAGTGTCATAAGCCTGCTGACTTACTACTAAGCCATGAGGTGGTGTATTAGGAGGGAAAGAACTGAATGGTGGTTTGTTTGAAATTAGTATTTCTCTTCTTTCACTACAACATCAAACATACAACTTTAAAACAGCATGGAAGGTGACAAGGATATCTAATAATGAGGTTGTTGAAACTGAGCTAAAGCAATTCAAATAAATTAGTAAAAAAAACTCTATAAATAAGCCATCGGAAACATACATTAATAATCAAGATAAACACAAGAACATTTAATAAGCTATCAGAAAAACATCCACTAACCCTTAAGACAAACACAAGAACATTTAATAAGCTATCAGAAACATCCATTAATATTCGGGATAAACAAAAGAACATTTTACCATATCCCATGACTAGGAAAAAATAAGAAAGATTACAAACACCTTTAACTTCCAGATAAACTTCAAAAGCTCTAAAACTTATGTGATAGCTTGATAAAAGACATCACTCCTGACTAAACAAAATAGGAAAAATGTAGTATACAATGTCACATGTGTGTTAAAATAAAAATACACAAGTGAAACCCAATGTCCTGGCGATATCAAAAAGGTGCTAAGAGACTTAGCAACAGCATCATATACTCAAGAGAAAAATAAAAGAATCAATTACCATACCAACATGTATAAAACATCATCAACTACAGAAATTAATAATAAATTCAAACTTCTTTATGATGCTATCTTTTACAAATGTGAAAGCGTTCTTCAATATGTACTACATGAAGATAAAGTAAAACCATTTTGTGAAGTACTGACTTAGATTTTATGATCTAGATCGTAGTTCATTAAATAACTAAACTGAACCGAGTATTGTATTCAATAAAAAAATAATATAACAGTTGTATATACAATATTACAAATAAAATATGTGACAAAAGAACCATTGGTCAAAAAAAAAAAAACTTTGGATGAAATACAATTTAGAAACCATTGCTTCCTTCCTTCTAAATAATGTTTTCATGTAATGTAATTATTGTGCCAACATCATGCTCATTTCTTAAATTAATGGTTTAATGGTACAAACAACAGCATCTCTTATTTTTCAAGCCACAATGTCACCCAATCCTCCTTAGTAGGTGAAATATTCAGTCATCAGTGTTAAAAAAACTACATTTAAGCTATAACAATTTATGTTTAAAGTAATGTCCATTCTAGAACTTTTCAAATAGGTTTTAAAGAATTAGTATTAATTGCATTCTGAAATCTTTGAAAATTTCTGACATATATTTAGCTTTACCATAGCATCTACAAATGAAATACATTATTTTGATAAATTGAAAATAAGTAAAATTAGTCTATACAGCATACTCATTCTTTCTATTTTCACAGAACACTCATAAAACAAAGAAGAATTTTGTGTATTTTACAATAATTAAATATCATACAAGCTTTTAATCCATACACAATAAGATGTAAAACATTAACATAACAGATAATAGCAATATGTATTGATTACATCAGCTTATGGCACACATTACACGCAAATAGCCTGTACAGTATTGCCCGTTGAAATTTCATAATGTTAATTACAAAACTAAACTTGAATACTTAGAATAATGCATACATAAATGAAAAATGACTGTATGGATAAATGTGAATATGATGTGACACTCCCCAGAATAAAATTTGTGAACAATTAAAAGATTGAGGATGCAACAACATATCTGATCATTTAGCCTTTCAAAACAGAAGGGACTTTCACTATTCTTTCAAAAGTTTTTAGAACACATATGATAACATTTGATTACCTTTTATCACTAGGTAAGTTTCTGAAAATTACTAAGGAAGTATATTTAATTACCATGTCTGTGTACCATTTCCTGGATGTCAGAAAAGGGGTATTTTTGTATTGAGCATAAAATAAAATACACAACTATAATAGTAATTATAAAGATAAGTCTTTCTCTATACATTCATTACTAACAAGAGATCATTATGGCAGGGGAAGCAGCCACATTAGTGGACAACAGAAACAGTGGTTAAAACATATTCTCCAGAACTATTACACTGATTATTTCTTTTTTTTTTCTCAATGCTTTGCATATTTTTCAAGGTCTTCAGTTATTGTCCTACTAATATTTTCTTCCTCAGCAAGTTGTTGTCGAAACAACTTTACTTTTTCTGTAAAAACCACATAAAAAGTGTAGCTTTAATCAGAATTCATCCTGCGATTATCAGAGTTTTATCTGACGTACAAATTAGAATAAACGTGCATACTAATGTATCTGTATATTTCCCTAAAATGTGAACTATTTTACATTTCGTTTATAGCATAAATCAAGAAAACCATGGTTTTATTTGAGCTGGGAACTGCAACAACAAGATCTTTCTACTTAACAGTTTGTTTAAATAATTTTATATAAAACCATTTTGTATAGATAATTTTCTGAAGTAAGATGTATAAGCATCGTAAAGTTTAATCAGAAAAAAAACTGCTGAAAACAAAAGAATGATTGAAAATGCAAAATTCTGAGTTTCATAAAAATAAATTAAACAGTTTAAAAAATGGTAGTTATTTCTCTCAGATCTGGTCATTTTAATTTAATAAACATTTACACTTACCTTTAAGCTTGCCTAATCTGCCTAACTTTTCTGCAAGCAAATCTTCCAATTGTTGAGAATATGCTACAAAACCACAATTCATGTTTAATCAGATATATGCATACAAAACTTGAATACAAAATGCCTTACACTAAACCTAATTGCAAATCACTGATATTCATACAAGTAAATTTTGAAGTATATTATGATTTTACAAACTTGTAACAGACTCTCTTGCATATCTGATAGGGAAAAGAAGTATTTGAGAAAATCTAATTATTGTTAAATTAGCTGAAGTACTCATCCCCTGGACGGAAGTTATGTAAATTCATGATTAATGAAAGGTTATCTTAAGACATGAAAAGTTGTTTCCCTTGTATGTAATTGTAAAAAATGCAAAACACAAAACGTTAAACTGCAAATTTGCATACATCTCCCCATGGAGCCAACAAATCTTCATGCCAAATCTGGTGAAGATTCATCAACAGGGGATGAAGTAGTGGTAAAAAACACCCATAAAAAATGCAAACCTTAAAATTTGTATGCATCTCCCCATGGACCCAACAAACTTTCATACCAAATTTGGTCAAGATCCATCAACAGGGGGGCAAACTAGTGATACAAAATGCAAAAACGCCCATGAAAACTGCAAAGTTGAAAATTTGTATATACTCCCGCATGGACCTGATGAACCTCCATTCCAATTTTGGTGAAGATCCAACCACACCTTGCAAGGTGGTTATATGGACATACAACAGACAGTAATATTATATGTTTATAGATTTATTCCTTTTTTTTAACAGATGTGGGGTATTCTGTGTCACAGCAACCAATATTCTACGGATTTATAATCACACCATCTCAGATTTTCAATAAACTTTAAATGAAGTATCTTCAAGGTATATAATGAAACTACGTAAACTGTTATCCTCAAATTCTTTAAACGGACAGAAATGTGAGCTCTTGAAGTAGGGGATATAAAGTCACCAGTGACAGGTATTGCTGCACGAGTTTTTGGCATCCCTTTTCTCAAAAATCAATCAAAGTAGAAGGAGGAAATTTAGTATACTAATAGAACTTATGCTGTAAATCCCCAAAAATACAAATTAAACATGGATAGCTACAATCATTAAAAAATAAAATTTTCCGAAACTCAATGAATAGTATATGTAGCCATTTTGCAAAATTTGTGAGACAATTATTCTTACAAGACTATACAACTAATTTCTATTCATTTATATTTTCACATTTATTTCATATCTGTCTGTAATATAAAAAATACAATTGCAATAAATCAACTTAAACTATTTTTTCAAAATAATTCAAATGAAACCCTTGTCTAAAATGATGATTTTGGACCCATGTTTGTCCTCTGAAAGTCAGGTGTAGCAAGTAATGTTCAGATTTTTACACATGAAAGTTTATAGGCAGATTCACTGCTGGCCAAGATGATCAATTCAAACACTAATATCAAGACAAACATACATATTATCAGAATATTATTAAATTTTGATCTTACCATCTACATCATAATCCACTTCATTTGCCATTGTAAGCAGCTCTATCATTTTGAAACCATTTCTCAGTGGACTGTAAAGCAGGAACAAATAGATGCTTTGACAAAGAATTATCATACCTATAACTGTACTACCACTAACAACTAAATAGAGTAAATTCACAAATCTTTTAGCATGAAGATAACCATAAAAACTAATTTTTAATGTTAGTACTTTCTTTACCTAAAAATGTATTTAAAATAGATACTCTCCACAGAATAGCTAATACTGTCTGATACTAACATGTGTCAAGCCTTTGAATGAAACATGTAACAGTATGTACTATGCCAATCTATGATGCAATTAGATTAGGTAAATGTTAACTTCTGAGATGATAACTTACTTCCTCAAAAAGAAATACTAGAATCCCAGATTGAAGTGGTGGAAGAGCCAGTGCAAAATTTTACTTAGATATGCTTACTTCAGAATTATATGAATTTGAAAATAATGAAAGTATTTAATATTCTAATCACTTATATAATCAAATTAACATGATCTTGATAAGATGATGAGTTTGTTGTCATGGCATTTGGACAATTAGAGATTGAACAGAATAATATTACGCTTTTGAAAAGTTAATACGATATCTTAAATTGCATTATAAATACTAAACAGTGTATAAATTTTTAGAACTCTGGTGTAATCATTTGGTATCCTGAAGTGCATGTATCCTTCAGATGTGCAATTTTAATTAAACCTATAAATATTTTGGTACATACAATTATATTTACAATGACTGAATAAGAAAAAAATATACAATGTAGAAATATAAAGTTTTGTGTTGTTCTTCCATTAATGTATTTAGGTGTGTCATATTTTAGTTATGATATTGGAAATATTTTAATATAATTAGGTGTTAGAACTAATTAATTTGTCAATGTCATACTCAAGTCACCCAATATTATATTCAATGTCAGTAATAATCTTGCAAATTACAACAACTTCTAAATCCCATTTGAAAGTACACAGAAATACAGGTATAGTGTGCAAGTAATATCCGATATATATGAGTTACACTAACTACTCTAAAAATACAGAAAACCTTTTCCCAAGTGTAGGGAAATCATTATAGTATGTTCACTACATGCTGCTTTTTTTTATATATATTTTGTACATAACACAAATACATAGTAATTTTAAGTTTCATTAATAATTTTATTTACACATCTAATATGAGACTTAGTTTATCAATTACCTGTAATTTTGTGTGTGGAGTCCAAGGTCATAGTCGTCTTTTATTTTTTAAACTTTCATAAAATAATGTTCATTTGGACATCTCAAACACAATAGTATGTTCTATATATTATAAAATAAATGGCCATAAAACTCTTATGCCAAAGAAACAGCTATATAAAACTCTTTTTTTTTGTATGGTTTACAGCTGAATAATCCACATAACAGTTAAAACATTAGTTGAATTTAGAAGGAAAGTCTAATATCTGCCTTTGCTTGAGTCAAGATCTATTTCTCTTTAATCCCTTTCTAACCTAAACACAGTCTCTAACAGGCCTGTTTTTTACTCTTTTTTATTAAGTGTTTTTTTAATTACCATATAGTTGTAATTAAAAGTTTAGTAGGAGTATACCTTGAATTCAGCCTAAGGACTGGTTCAGGCTAAAGTCAACATTTTTTTCATTGTTGTATATCAGATGAAATAATCTTTATTTTCTAATTGATATAATATAAGCACAAATGAATATAAAGACTTAATAATTATTGAAAATAGCTATTAGTTACAGAAAAAATTTCATGCTGATAATAAAATTTCTTTTTACACAATGAACATTAAACAATGTAAATACACAATACATAAAGCAAGCACATAATTTCTTTCTGAGAGTTGTCTACAAAATGTTCAGAAACCAGATACATTGTAAAGACCAGCACTTCCTGATGACCTAAGTTTACAGAGTAAACCTGTTACAGAAAAAAAAAGAAACATTGATATTTGTAACCTAATATTAAAGAGGGGATTATCATATAATAAACAACTTATGAATCTTAAATGTAGCAGTTGCAATTGTATTCTGACTGTACATTTAAAAGAAAAATTACACTATCATAACTGTAAACATCTCCTTAGGTCCACGTGTCAGGATCTTGACATAAGTAAACTCAGACACACTGAAAGCCACTAGATATAAGATCCAAAAACAAAATAAAGCATAACTATATTATCCAATGCAAATCTAGCTCTTTTGAAGTATAAAACTGTCATCAAAACCAGTAGAACAGACTCACTTCAGTAATGTTTTTGTGTGCATCCAAAAGTTCATCTTCTAATTTCTGTAGATGAGACACAGCTGTATGAAAAAACATTAGGTTATCCGATAGTTCCTCTTTCTGGGAAATCATGAAGGTCAAAAAAGAAACAGAGACAATTAAACCACAGCATATTAAAACCAAAATTAAATAAAAGATTGTGACTAAACTTTCTTCAAATGCATTTTCACTAGTTTACACACTCTCTATAAACATATATAAATAAAAGTACCACTAAATAAAAGGGGTAGCAAGGCTTCACATTTTAAACTCATAGTCAGTTGCTTGCAAGCTCAAGGTTGGCTTATGTTGTGCTGTTGTGTCTTTCAACAAGACACTTTACCCCAATTGTTTCAGTTTACCCAGCTGTCTGATGGGTACCAGCTATTAGCTGTGTGGTATCCTGCAATGAACTGGCATCCTGTCCAGGATGTACTCATATGTATCATCAATCTTATCCACTTGTGCCAATTAAGCCAGATTCCAGTACTAGATAATCCATCTTGGCATGGGAGGGATTTGACTTTCTTGACCACTAAGTTGGTTGTTTTTATTGCTTTGTTTTTAGCTCATTATTATTATTATTATCAGTCACCTCATTATTATCACAAAAAATTAAGGGCATAAATTTAGTTGAGTTTTAAATGTTTATTAATAAAACATTTCCATTTTTAAATGTTCGTAGCTTTCTGTTTGGAAAGGTTTGTCTTTGTTTCTAAGCTTCATATACTTACTTATGCTAACAAAGAATTTTCACAAACATCACAAGCTACTTATGCTTTTTATTAAAAGAAATCTTATAAAGAATATGCAAATGGTCTGTAACGTTTATAAGAAAATAAAACATGTTACATGAAAGATACTTTTCTGTTCCTCAAAATACAAATACTGCAACAGAATAAAGTTTTTATTCAAATAAGGTAGAGAACACTACAAATATGTTGTATGAAATTAAGATCAGCTATTTTATGCCTTATATTTAAAAAAATTAACTTAGTAAACATATAATTAATAAACTTTCTCTTTTATTTACTGTGAAAACACCCTTAATAAAGGTTTTTAAAGTTTAGCTTACATTTATAGAATGAAGAAGGGCAAAATCATCATTAACAGGAGAAGTTTTCCATTCCCCATTACACAAAATATCTCTATTTTCTACTCCCAATTCCTTGACTCTAACAAAGAAAAAGAAACATACAATGATGAATTTAAAAATAAAACAGTGTAGTAATTTTTACAATTCCCATGCCCTCTAGTGGACAGTATTTTCTAGCAAAAATGAGAGTAAATGATTGCAGAATTTTACCTCAAGATAGAAATAATTGTTTTAACATGCAATGTTGTGTACATTATTTGACCTTACTGTCCAAAATAATCCATAGTTAAAACAAGTTCAAACTAGAAATATCTGTGAACTATTTATCCTACATCAACGAGAATTAATGATAAATCCATGGCTAACTGAGGGTTATGCTTTATTTAGGCTAAGCTTTAAATCCTTCAGTAACATGAATTGCATCTTATTGGTAAGTAGTTATTACATTATTTGTACAAAGCATTAAAGCTTTTCACCTTTTTACATGAGTTAAAAATGGACTTCATGTTTTTCATAAGGAAAAAAAACTATTCTGAGTACTGGTTTGTTCTTACTGAAGTATAAAACAATACTCACTTCCCACCAAACAAGTGTAAAGGCACAAGGCAGTAAAACCTGGTATGAGTAATGATGCTTAGATCACCTATTACAGTGAAACTGAGAAATGGATACACAAGCTATTCATCATCCTCAGGAGTAACTTTCAAACATGAAGAGTATAATATTCATAAATTGATAACAGGTCATGTGACATTATGTTCTCAACTACTTACAAACAAGAGGTCATGCCATATTACTAACACAAAGATTAGCTGGACCTTCATATCTGTTTAACGTTATATACTCTTCTTAGTTAATTATTTCTAAAGATTAACATATGTGTTTAAGCTATCAAACTGTTTGGTTGAGTTAGAATTATCCCCTATCATTGTGTGTTATTTGTACATACTCTGTTATAGTTGAATTTTCATTTTAAGTATTTGTTACATAATCTTAATCTTCTTTTCAGCTGTATTTTAAGTTCCTTTTAGTTTGATCAATATATACGTGCTACTTCATTCACATTCCATTTTTTTTATAATTAACTCTCTTGCTACAGGCAGGTCAATATCGTCACAACATTTTAGAGCATTACATTAAAGATTTAATTAAACTATTTTATTATCAAGATATACAAGTAAACTTGGCACCAAAACATAATTAATGAATCAAATTTTAATATTATACAAGTTTTAAGTTTTCAATTTTATAAGGAAATATTTTACAAAATCCTCAATATCTTCCTAGTATGAGAATTATGACTGCTCTCTAGGTATCCACTCTTCTCTAATTTATTTACCACCCTCCTGAGAAGTATGGAATTTAACATAAATTATTTATTGTAATATAGTTGTTACACAAGCAAAGCAAAATCTGTATAGTTCTGTAAACAAATAAGATTGAAGGCTATACAAATTTTGCTTAGAAAATCAGACCCCTCTTGCCCCACCCAGCTGTCACATTCTCTTTTTCACAAATTGCTAATAGTTCTCTCTGATGTTGAATTCTGTATCATTTATAACCAATAGAAAGCCATTGTTTTAATCTATCAAATGATACATTATATTACATTGTTTTCTGTACAGAGAATTATCTATTTTACTTCTAGTTCAAACTTATTTCCATGAGAAACACACTGATAGTTATAATATATTGTCTGCTTTTTATGTGTCGTTATTTTGTGTTCTTAGGTGCATTATTCAATTAATCTGAATAAAAAATTATTTGGTATAGTAGTACCATTAGTATAAAAAGTAAGGTTAAGTATCATCGACAACTGAAGCAAAAAGAAAGAAGACCCAGGTAAGTATTAAATTTCTTGTTTTTCATGTTTATTCTCTATTCATTATTATAAAAGTAACTAAAATTTAAAAATCAGAAACTTATTAGGGTAGATAAAGTTAGATTTGGTATGATAAAGATTAATAATAAAATATTTTCATAAGGTATGCTCATGAGCAGCTTGTGCATTACATAATTTGTTAGGGTAATATGAGCTATACATTCAACAAGTGACTTACAATTTGTGTGGCAGGATTATTAGTTAAACAGTAGGGTTCAAAGAGCAATAAAACAATACAATTTAAGTAGAAACAGATGTATACTGTTACTAACTTTATTAGCCAACAAATCTAGTTTTCTGTTACAACTTGAAGTCATTCAAGAAAGTAAAAAAAAATTGATTTAGATTTATTTCATATATTTTTTTAAGGTGGTCATGAGGTTTTTCTAGTCGACTGAGCCTAGATAGAGTTTGGATAGAGAAAATAACAGATAAAAATTTCCAGAAAATAAAACGTTTGAAATTTACTTAGGGGGTTTTAAAGACTACACAAATGAAATTTGACAATTTTCAGATGAAGAAAAGTATTTTCAATCTTAACATGAAAATCACTTTGCACTCAGAGCATTCAACACTTTGGCTTCATATATTCATGGAGAAATTTTTAGTAAATATAAATCATTAGAAATTCTGATTTTTGTGTACAAAAAGACTTGTGATGCTTACTGAAATCTTGCAAAATTTTGTGAAAATACACAACGTATTAAAAGTTATAGCATGGAAACTAAAGGTCAATTTGGGGTCAAGATTTAGTTTGAATTGGCCAAGCCCACAGCAAAAGAGCTAAAGATACCTCAGAGTTTCTTAATGTAAAATAGCTGTTGTAGTTACACCACTGGCCTCTATATTTTCAGGCTACTTTTCAATCCACAAAAAGTTCATGCAGCTTATGTTTGTGTTTTGATCTAACAAAACTTAAGTGAGATTGTATTGTTGTGAGATAGAAAGACGTTTTCTGCTGAGTTAAGGAAAATACCACAAAAAGAAAAAGGTGTATAAAACCTTGATCTTTATTGTAATTGTGTAGTTGTATATTTTCTGTAGCTGTGGATTTAAATCTGTTATTTAGCAGTTTAATATGATAAAAAAAATGTCATTGAATAATTAATTAGTTAGCAGTACCTGATAATCGTAGGATTTTTAGTGCTGAACTTTATGAATTCATTAACTGATTCTGAGTGTCCTCTTTTTTTCCCCCACAAGTCAAGACGTGGATGCTACAATATGTTTATTTAAAAAACTTGCTCTCAGGTGAATGATCAAAAACTTAATACCATTTTAGATTACAAAAACCCATATGTTGTGATTGTTAATTATTGTTCAGGTTATTCGCAACATCTTATATATACTTCATTGCTCAAACATAAGTTGCTTAAAGTGTATAATATGGACAGAAAATGGTTAAGGGTACCAGTCTCAATAATCAACTTTATTCACATAATAAACAAGGATGAATATAGTTCACTTTAACTTGCCTGTTACAGAAAATGTTCAACAACCAGACTATAATAAGTGTGAAATCAAACAAATAAATTGATACACAGTTAAAACATTTTAATGAGGCTATCAATGTGACACCCCCATTTAAGAACCACTATGTGTTTTGACAATTCCTCATCATCCTCAGGAGTAACTTGCAAGCTCAAGAGTACAGTATATAAATTTATGAAAGGTCATGTGATGTGGTTCTCCAATGTTTACATAACTTGTTCATAATATTTTGAAGCATGCAGGATCAACAGAAAAGATATTTTATAAAATTAGCAATTTCATAGAATGATGTATCTATGCAGTAATCAGGCATACCATGAGTTGTCTACTTTCTTTATTTAATATAGGAATTTTTCAAACATTTTCTGTTGTGCAGTTTCCAAATACTAAATTGGTTGAGATGGTCATAAAGTTGCTGTTGTTGCCTATTGTTCTGTATTCAACTGAAATAACACCTTTTGGCTCCCAATGAGAAAGATAGCTGTAAAGTTGTACCTAACTTGTGAAGTTAGTCAGCTGATGTCTTGAGATTATGTACTTCCTTATGTTTCAGTGTGGGTATAGCACAAGCCACTCTGGGTAAGTTTAGCATTACCAACTTAACTAAATAACATGATGCTCATTCAGTCTGGAAAAGCCTTGAGAGAGAAATGGTTTTGATTCTAGCCCTCCAATAAAAGGAAACCTTTATGTTTCAATGGGAATGACTAGTTATGTGGATACCTCATGTCACTCTGGCTAAGTTTGAAGTTACTGGTTTAACTAAGTAACATGATGGTTACTCAGTCTGAAAAACATTGGGAGAGAAACAGGTTTGATTCTAGCTCTCCAATAAAAGGTGACCATCCAATGTGTCACATAAATATTATCAATGTGTTTGTGTTTAAATAAATATTGTTCTTCTCTACAATTGTATTCAGTCTTCTTATTTTTTCTCACAAGCTCAGTTATGCAGAGAACTCAGAATTACTTTGCAGTAAATATTTTGATCAAATCTTCTGCTCGTCTAAAACTGTCATTGATTTAAATATTTTCAGAACTGTGTAGAACATTAAGACAATGAAACTGAATGACACAAAACATTTTTTTCTCAAGTTTAAGTAATACCAAAGATAAAACAGATTTAATTGATAAAAATGGAGTATTCAGTTCTCCCTACAAGCAGAACAAAATAAGACAAAAAGTATTACCTATCAGCATATCGTAGTGTGTTAAGGGAATGTTCACAAGAGTTCATACCAGGAGAGATCATGGCTATCTGTAAATATAATACAATGATTTAAAAACACGAGTTATACAAAATACACATGAATCATACACAAAGAAGAAGAAATATCAATTTATTAAAGAAGCTAAAATATTAATTATCCCTCCACTACTCAATCACTTAATTAAGATATAGAAGTGGCAATGTGGACAATAATAACTTCCTAAAAAATTATTTGATAGTAGTACAAGTGGGATAGAAAATGATTAAAGAGCTTGAGGAAAATTGTCTTCAATATTTGTCCTACCAAAAATATACTTTACATCTTTATAGCTAAAAATGATATTAAAAAACATCCTAGGTGATGTTTATAAGTATATTCAGACATTTCTCCAAAAAGGCCTCTCTCTCTCTTTTAAGAGCAGTTTCTATTCATGAGTTTTATGATCCCAAACGATACTCTCTCTCACTCATTTAACATTATAATACTTTAAAAGTT